TACTTCGTCAGTCTGCCTGCTCTGCTCCCTGCTCTGGCGCTGGTGAATTCTCTCACCCTCCCGCGCTTCTGACTGTACCCAGTGCTTGTATAAATAAATAAATAAATAAATAAATAAATAAATAAATCTTAAAAAAAGGAAAAAGAAATGCTGGAATGCGGGCCTCCCAGATGGCACAAGGGGTTAAGTTCCAGCACTATCAAGCTACTGGCAGCCACTGCAGCACCAGGTCAATCCCTAGCCAGGGAGCTAACCCACATGGCGCAGCAGACCTCTCCTGTCTCACCCACTCAGCAGTGTATTTCAGTCAATCCTCCCTGTTCTGCTCCCTACTCTGTCTCTGGTGAATCCTCTCACTCCTCCCCTCACCCCTGCACCTCTGGCCTACTCCCCAGCTCTTGTATGCATAAATAAATAAAATAGATCTTTAAAAAAATGCTGAAATGCAATGTGAACTCATCTTCAGCTTTAGTAGATACTGCCAAATTGCTATCTGAAGTGGTTGTTCCAAGTAACATTTTGTTAAGCAATACGCAAGAATTCCTATTTCCCTACATCCTTGAATATGTGCTGTTGTTGTACTTTTGAGAGTAAAGTACTTTTCAACTGAGAGTAAAGAGACTGTGTGTCTTCCTATGTTTCATAATTTTGGGTCATTCTCCTTTTTAGTTGTTGTTTATATCCCTTACCCATTTTTCCATTGGATTGCCATATTTCTCTCAAGAGTTAGATTCTTTATATAGTCAAGTTAGTGATATTTTGTCTGTTTTACATGTACAAATAATATCTCTTGGTATGTGTCTTCTCTCTTTCCTTCATTCGAGGTATTTACATTGCTTCTTCATTTCACATTGGAATAATAGGAAATACCTGTATCTGTGGTGGTATGCAGTGGAGTCAGAGATTTAAAATTGTGATGATAGCTTGTTCTGACCAACTATTGCATGAAAACTGGAATATAAGAAGCTTAGGTTCTACTCATGATTTTTCCATAGCTAAGTGTCCTTGGGGAAATCACATCACCTCTATGTCTTGGACTTCTCATCTGTAATCGAACTTTGGACTAAATGACCTCCTTGAGCATCCTCCTAGATGTAAGGTTCTCTAACATTGTAAATCAAGGTCATGTGTATGCCCCAAGCAGGCAATGACAGAACATACATGGACGAGCCCACTTCATCCTAACATATGAAGTGACTGATCAACCTCTGTGTTATTTTTCCTGACTCCCCCACATGGGTTGCAAGCATTTCCTTCTTGTGCCCATAGCATCTAATCATTTTGTAACTGTACTATCATCACATTATACTATCGGTATGGATTTTTCACTTGTCCCTTTGACTAGACTGAGCATCTCAAACATAAACATGTCATTAATATATCTCCAGCGTATCCCATAGTTGCTGACTCAGTGAATGTATGAAGAATGATGTGGGGGGGGGGGGAGGAAGGAAGGTAGAGAAGGAGGGAGGGAGGGAGGGAGGTAGGAGGGAGGGAAATGGGAGGGAGGAACCTAAACACCTCCAAAGTACACAGCTAGTGAACATAAATGAGTTACTAAAGCAGTTGCACACTAGGGAAAGGAACCATTAACAAATACTATTGTAACCTTTTATAGATGGAATTCATTTTGCAAGCTCACATAGAAGAGTGATGTGTTTATTAGTGGAAAGCAATCTCTGATTCTTAATCTGATGTATCAACTAAGCCTACAGCTTCATCATTTTAGCAAAAACAAACTAGATTTTGAGTTAAAGTCATTTTCATCCTTTTTATGTAACTCAATTACAGTACCTATTATAATTTTGAATTTTTCCCTGCTGACATGTTCAAAAAGATTAAAAAGGGAGTCTCTAAGCTTTAAGACCTTTCATAACTGCTATCTATGTAGTATCAGAGATGGGAGTTCTTAAATAATTCTCTCTTAGCTATAATGCAGTTTCCTGTTGCTGTAAACATAGGGGAAAAAATAAGATCTATGTAATAAAAGTGTCCTTGTCATGACAACAGGAAGAAGCAACAGGAAGGAAAACCTGGCCTCTAAAGAATGGGCTGTTACAAGGTTTCAGGGTCCATTATGCATGATCAGTGTCCTGTCCTTCATTTGCTTTTGCCCTTACACAGCCTACTTCACTGCTGCAAGTATAATTAAATTTTCTCAGCTACACATTCGCCTCTGGATAAGCAAAGCATAATTTGAATATCCTTTTCTAGGGGTAATGCATTATCTGTTCATCTTGAAAAACTGCCTATGTCTTCTATCTCCTACTCTAACATAGTTTTACAATTTATTATGCCAGCATCCTTGTGTTTGTTTCTATTGTAATTAGTAAGATCATTATTAAATAATAAAAAAGTAAGTAGATTACAAGAGCCAGACCAGGAATAAAATTAGGCTGTGGCGATAAACAGTAAAGTGGGATAACCCTGGCAGTGATGTATCCGTTCTGATCTTTTCCCAGCAGACCTGGTTTCTGCTAGTCCCAGATTCAGCCCCACCAGACACCAGTTTCCATCCATGCTAGTGACTTTGGTGATCTCATGGTTGTAAATCTCCCGATAATGGAAAGTTGATTAGTTGCTGACAAATGGGGTAGTTTCTTTGGTAGTTTCTCTAGCCCAAAGTATAGACTTCAACCCATATGCATTAGATTTCCCCAGCATGTTTGTTAAAAATGTATTCTTTTAAAGTTTGATTCCTGATTTGCTTCTGAATCTGAAATGCCAGGGGTGGGACTAAAAGTTCTGAATGCTAAAAGCACACTAAAATTTGAGAGGCCTTGCCTTAAACTGTAAAAGAAAAATAAAAATAGAGGGCAATCTTTTCTGCTACAAAATGCCTAGAAGCAAGGAGGTCATTGCACCTTTGGTAATAAGAAGGGAAACAGACAAGCTAAAGATGAAGCTTGCCAAGTTCACAGTTTTCCTTAGGTTTTGCGTCAGATATAACTGTTGCAGATTTGAGCCAGACTCAAGCGGGCTCTCAAAATACATGTTGTATGTTGTTGGTCAGTGTTGGTGTTATGAACCTCAAACGTGAGACTGCTTTTAAACTACTTCATTCTGGGCCTCCCTGGTGGCGCTAGGGGTTAAGACGCAACCTATGAAGCTATCCACAGCCACTGCAGCATAAGTTTGATCCCCGGCCAGGAAGTTACCCACATGGCGCAGCAGACCTCTCCTGACGCGCCTGCTGCTCCCCTCAGCAGTGTATTTCAGTCTATCTGCCTGTTCTGTTCCCCACACTGTCTCTGGTGAATCCTCTCACCACCACCCCCGACACACACCTCTGGCCAGTACCCAAGTTCTTGTGTGCATAAATAAATACTTCTTAAAAAAAATAAAATAAAATACTTCACTCCCGCACTTCTCACTGTACCCAGTGCATGTACAAACAAAGAAACAAACAAACAAATAAATAAATAAATAAAAATACATGCCTCTTAAAAAATAAATAAATAAAACAAAATACTTCATTCTGCCAGGCACTAGAGGAAGACAGAGGAAGCATATACTTCACAGTGTTGTATCAGAGGTCACTGTGATGAAGGACTAAACTATGAGAGTGTCACTGGGGGTGGACAGGAGGACCTGGATATGAACAATATGAAGACAGAAGCAGTAGAACTTGATGACCTAATGATTGAGAAAGATAAAGAAGTAGGATTCAAGGATGACTCTAGGTTTGAGGCTCATAGCTGTATATGAGGCCAGTCATCAAGCAAGGAAGGGAATTCAGAAGAAATTAAAGTAAGCAGTAAAAGGAGTGACAGATTTCATTTCAGAGAGGTTGAGTTTGCGGTACCTGTGGAATAGCCAGAAATTAGGAAAGAGGTCTGCTTTGAGGACAGGGTTTTGGCAATCATCTGCTACAGCATAATTTCCATGGAAACATGGTGTAGGCAGGAGAAAAATGCTCCTTTCATGAGCAAGTATTTCTTCCCAGGCATTAAAAAGCCAAGTGGCCTGATCAAGGAGAATGACTAGAAAAGAGCCAAATAATAATATATCTGTCTCCTCTCTATTTCATTTCGAACATGTGACAGGTCTTCAAGGTTTAACTGTAGGATTTTCTTGTTTCATTTTCTTTCCCCTACTAAGTAAGTTTTTGAGGCTACACTAGGGCTTCAAGACATCAGAGGTAAAAAAAAATCTCATGTGAAAGTTCAAATTTTTCTTATTCTTTTTACTTTCCCTTTCTTCTATTTTGCTCTTTCCATGTTGCCAATGGCATTATAAAAACTGAAGGAAAACACCAAAATCATCTAGATCCTTGGCCACCGTTTAATTTTTTAATAGCTTCTACAATAGCTTAACAATATTGTTAAGTCTTTGGGTTGACGTGTATTCAGAAGGAGCCATGGAGTTGCTGATATAAAAAAGTATTTTGTGTCAGGGATTGATTTATGCCTTGGAGCAGGACAAAAAGAATATTCAGCTCCTGTGGTATCTGTTGCTTGGGAAGCATCAGGCCATCTGGTAGGTTTTAGTAAAATGTGGCAATAACACTTGGGTTTGAAGCACATGATAATTTTTTCAAATAAAATTAAAATTTGTCAGCAATTGAGACACTTGTAGACCTTTTAAAAAAAAAAAAGATATCTGCATCTTTAGCATTAGTATTTAAAACAATTAAAAAAAGACATCTCTATCTTTCTTGTTCTGTTCTGGGCTTATTCTCAAAATCCTGTGTTGACTGCCCAATTCAAACTTCTCAGCCTGCCCTTTGAGGCCTCCATATTCACTTTACAAGTAAGACTACTTAAATTAGAATTTTGGTAGGTTGGACCCAAGCATCATTTTTTAAAAACTTCCTTGATGATTTCACACATTGATCAATTGGGGCATCAGATTACCACAGGTCAGAAGCAAATGTGAGAAACAGAAGTCCATCAGAGCTTCAGGTGACAGCTACGACATATATATGCATACATGTGTGTGTGCGTGCGCGTGTGCGTGTGTATGATTTACATTATCTCTCTTGCTGCCCTGGCTCACAGGTGAATGCTGTGCGAGTATATGTGAACAGTTCCTCAGAGAACCTCGACTACCCGGTCCTCGTTGTAGTTCGCCAGCAGAAAGCGGTGCTGTCCTGGCAGGTTCCTCTGCTCTTCCAAGGACTGTAAGTGGATCTTTTCCTGCACAACATCACTTCATTTAATTTCTTTCAAGGTTCTAGTCCTTTATTGGTATTTTCATTAGTGGAAAGGAGAAAGAAGGCCTTTGGGATGTTGGCATATTATGATCCTAAGAACAAAAATTGGTCATGGTATAAACCTGACCTGTTCCTCTCTGTTCAGTTTCTATCCTCTTTGAAGTTCAGATTTGCTGCACCTGAAAGAACTTTCATCATTTTAATTCCACCCTAGAATATTCTGTGCCTTTTGGTTGGTTAGTGGATCATTCACTGAGGACAGGGCTAGAACCAGCAGTCATCTTAAAGGAATAAAACCACCCCCATTCTTCAGAAGCCCACTGTGTACATTCTTTATTCCACAGTATTTATTGAGCATTTCTAAGTGGTAGATGCTAGGAATACAGCATTGGAAAAAGAAAAACACCAACAAAGTCCCTGCCCTCATAGAGCTTATATTTTCACAGAGGAAAGCAGTATAAGGCACAATAGCACCAATAAGAAAAAAATCCAGAGGAATAGACATGGGTATATAGCATAGTGTTAAATAATTTCTACAGAATGAGGAATTTGAGGGTTGATACTGACTGATAGCCTTGAGTTGGACTCTGGGATTTTCTTTATGTCCCATGTAGCAAAATCTTGAGGAGTAGAAAAATGGAATCAAATGATAGTTTAACTGATTCCCCTTCAGAGTTTGATATGCTTTCCTCATTGAATTAAGAGTTTGGCTATTGTAATGTAAACACAGCCTGCATGATTCAGCATGGAACTGTCCTGACATCCCTGGTTTTACATCATACAACCCTATGCCAAAAACTCTAAAATCACTGTCAATAATTCTAGTCTGAATTTTAAAACATAAGGACTTGAAAACATATTTGGGGAGAAGTAAAATAAGTCAGGCTTCTTTTTCTGCTTGTTCACTGAGCTTCATTCTTGCTGGTTTTCCTCCTTTGGTTGCTATAGATACCAGAGGAGCTACAACTACCAGGAAGTAAGCCGCACCTTATGTCCTTCAGAAGCAACCAATGAAACAGGACCTCTGCAGCAGCTGATATTTGTAGATGTAGCATCCATGGCACCTCTGGGTGCCCAGTACAAACTGCTGGTAACCAAGCTCAAGCACTTCCAGCTACAGTAAGTAGGACACACTTTCTCTGTTCACTTGTTTGCGCTTCCTGTGCTTGTGCATGCATACTCTACACTACCCCCACTCCCTTACAGGTCAACATTCAATAAGGAAATGTTTCCCTTGACATACTGAACCTTCTAAACTCTGGGCAGTAGGTCTTCTCTGTGTAAGAGAGTATCTGTTCTGGGAGCTCCAGGCTTCTCAAGAGTTCCAAACGTTTCCTCCCTTCTTAGTATTTAAATAATTTTAAAAGAAACTACCATTAAATTGGTAATATTAAAATTAGACATTTTACTTATCAAATAGCATCATTAAGAGAACAAAAAGTAGGCCACAGACTAGAAGAATATATTTCCAGCACACATTGCTGATAAATCATATGCAGCATGTATAAAAAACTCCTACAAATCGATAAGAAAAACAGGTAAACTCCTGGTGTTATCCCTATTTCCCACCTATCCTCTGTGACCCCAGTTTCTTATGGGGAAGAATCTTGAAGTCCTTGAGTCTAGGCATTGAGTCTGGCACCAAGATAGATATGTCTATGTGTCCCCATATCCAGACCTAGTTTTACTGGAACAAATAGGTTTTCTGAGGCAATCTCAGCAAACACAAACTATATTTGAAGAAATGATCCTGTGACCTGAACCTCTCAATAGAACTTTGGGACAGAGATATGAATCTCAGAAGGAAAATCAATGTTTATATTTACCCAAAGACAGTGTGCATGTTTGTGAGTGTGTGTGTGTGTGTGTGTGTGTGTGTGTGTATTGCTATAATTCAAAAATAATGACAACTCCACTCCAGTTCTATACCTAACTCCTAGATTGGGTTGTTCTGTTGTTTAGTTGTTCTGGTCACTTATGGAATATTACACAATACAAATGAATGAACTACTAATATAGCTAACAATATTTATAAATCTCACAAGCACAATATTGAACAAAAGAAGACAAGAAATACATACTTTTTTACTCTATAGAAAGCTTAAGAACAAGTAAAACTATTATTTTTTTTTAAAGATTTATCCATTCATGCATACAAGAGCTGGGGTACAGGACAGGGGCCTGAGGGGTGAGAGGACTCACCAGAAACAGAGTGGGGAACAGAACAGGCAGATCCACTGAAACACATTGCCAAGGGGAGCAATGGGTGAGCCAGGAGTGTTCTGCTGCGCCATGTTGGCCGCTCCCTGACCGAGGATTGAACTTGTGCTGTGGTGGCTGCAGACAGCTCCATAGGTTGCATCTTAACCCCCATCTTAACCCCCTGCGCCACCAGGGAGGCCCACAAGTAAAACTATTCTATAATATTAGAAATCAGAACAGTGATATCTTCAGGGAGGAAAGAGGAAGTACATGGCTATATTTACCTAGTAATTTATTCATTCAAGTGCACTTATGACTTGTGCACTTTTCTGTTTGATATACCTTAACAACTAGGTTGTTTTTAATCAGAATATTTAAACACAAAATATACTATACTTATTTTTCTTATTAGGATAGTCTGTTCTTCCAAAGTCTTAAATTTGTGAGTGCAGTTAAGATATCTTTAGCATATATTGTTGCTAATAGGAATCAAATAATTATCGTGGTGTTCTCTTACACACCTTGACAATGCTGTACCCATAGAGACACATGGGTAGATGAGTGACTAAAGGGTCAGAAGGATGGAAAAGTAGTCACAGCATTTTTTCAAAGTCCCTCCCCATTAATCTGTGTTTTTAAAAGGTGAGTGATAATTTCAAGAACAAAGGAAACCATACCCCTTTCCCCCACTAAAAAGGCAGAAAAAGATTCTCTTGTGGATAAGACCTACCTATCAGTTAAGTCAGACTGTCTAAGAGGGGAGTTTGAGCATTTAATATGCATATTTTAAAGTGTCCCTTAAAAAGGTGATTTTAATGTACATCTGAGTTAATGCACTTTCTAAACAATTTTTTTTTTTTAATCTTAAATTTTATTTTTATATTCCCCCATACAATTGCAAACGCCCCATTCTGACCCCAATCCTTCCCCTCCTGCCCCCCAACCCCCAAAAAGTGTCTCTGGTTCATAGTTTTTTGTTGATTTTGATTTTCACTTTCTTATATTCATTTTCCTGGTCCCTTATTTAAGTTTTCTAGATTCCTGCTATGAGTGAGACCATCCGGTATTTTTCTTTTTCTTTTTGGCTTATTTCGCTGAGCATGATCCCTTCCAGCGCCATCCATGTTGCTGCAAATTGCATGTGTTTATCTTTTTTGAATGCTGAGTAATATTCCATGGTATATATGTACCACATCTTCTTGATCCAGTCATCTACTTTTGGGCATTTGGGTTGTTTCCAAAGCTTAGCTATTGTAAACAGTGCTGCTATAAACATAGGGGTGCAGGTGCTCTTTGGAATTGATGTTTCTGTGTCCTTTGGGTAAATACCTAGGAGTGGAATTGCTGGATCATATGGAAGCTCTATGTTTAGTAGGTCCAGAAATCTCCACACAGCTCTCCATAGTGGTTGGACCAGTTTGCACTCCCACCAACAGTGCAGAAGAGTTCCTTTTTCTCCACATGCTCGCCAACATTTGTTGTTGCTAGTTTTTTTAATATGTGCCATTCTCACTGGTGTGAGATGGTATCTCATGGTAGTTTTGATTTGCATTTCCCTGATTGCAAGTGATGTTGAACATTTTTTCATATGTCTGTTGGCCATTTGCATTTCCTCTTCAGAGAAGTTTCTTTTTAGCTCTTCTGCCCATTTTTTGACTGGATTATTTTCTTTGTTGTTGCTGAGTCTCATCAGCTCTTTGCAGATTTTTGTGATCAGTCCTGTTCACACTGCACTCTAATGTGCTGCCATGTCCTTTAAATGGATAATCAAGATTTCCCATATTGTTTAATATCATAAATAGAATTAATTACTAAAACAAACATAAGTACTATATTAAGAAATTGTTTAATTTGATGTTCTTTACATCAAATTAAAGAACATCAAATTAAACAATTTCTTAATATAGTACTTATGTTTGTTTTAGTAATTAATTCTATTTATGATATTAAACAATATGGGAAATCTTGATTATCCATTTAAAGGACATGGCAGCACATTAGAGTGCAGTGTGAACTTCAGAGAAGCCTTACTTTTATAGATTGGCCTGTGCCTTTGACTTGTCACTGGCACCTGGTGGTAATATATTGAATTCTGTGAGACTTTCTATGAGGCTAATTAGATTCTCTGGAAAACTGAATGATGTGAAACTGAAGTCATAAGGTCCTAACTCTGTACAGTGTTAATGAATGAAGTGCATGCTGGCAAAAGCACAAGTCAACATGTTCCCTCACATTGTTTTCTGTTGTTCCCACTTCTTACGACTCGATTTGACCTCAACAGCCAGGCATTTAGAGTATTTCAAAATGTACAGTTACTAGAGATTTTATGAGAATAAGTCTGGGAAGATATGGTAACTGATATGTATGTGTGTCTCTTCCCCTTAGTTCTGGACTGTCCCATACTGGCCTGGTTGGTGACCCAAAAATACAAAGAGTGATGGTGATGGGGAAGAACTGAGGGCTGTGGTGAGATCCAAAGAATTAACTAAAAATTCCCAACATCATAGTTTCTTTGTATGATTTTGAATGGCAGACCACAGGCATATGAAACATATTCTCTGATTCTTTTGTGTATAAAATCATAAATTTTAAAGATGGAAGGACCCTTAGGAAGCTAATCCATTCACCTCATTTTTCCAGAATAAACTGATACCCAGAAAGTTTAAATGACTTGTTAAACTCACACAGGTAGGAAAGGGAAAATCAAGACTAGATTTTATTTCTGACTCCCAGTTCTGAGCTCTTCCCACTATAACACGATATTTCTACTTTCTAGTTAAAATTGTCCTTCCAATTTTTATGCTTCCCTAAATGTTTCTCAATTCCATGAAGCACTTATTTATTTAAATCCAGCTTTGAAAATAAAATTCTTACTAAAGCATTACTCCCTGCCATCTATTGCCCCTCCACTTCCTTCCAAACACATACACACAGCTTTGTCACCACTCCTTTTCCAGTTGTTCAGAGTTGCTGAGTATGAAATTGCAGAGAGGCAACCAGGGGGCTTTAGGAACAGACAGGCACCTCATCATATGGTGGGAGAAACTTGGAAGGGGCATCAAAAGAAAGGTAGGCAGTTGTCTAAAATGTAATTGCTGTATGGAGAATGGATTTAAAGAGAACAAGACTGGATGCACAGAAATTAGAAGGCTGACGCAGTGGTCAAGTTAATGAGATGAAATGAGTAATCTGGAGGTACAACTGATGACACCTAATGAATGTAAGGAATGTTAAGGGGAAAGGGAGTCAAGGATGATCTTCTAATTTATAGATGGTGGCCCCACTAGAGAAGATGAGCATCTTTGGAGGGAGGCAAGAGATGATGGGTTCACCTTGAGACATGTTAAATTTGAAGTGCAGGTGTCTGGCAGATTGTTAGATACCAACATGATTCACAGGAGAGAGGTCTAAGTTGCAGCTGGCAGACTGAGTAAAAACGCTTCAGTAAGGCTGGTCCACAAGCCACTTGTGATGGAGTGACAGGAGACAGGGCTGGAGAAACAGGTGGCACACGGTCTTTTTGACCTTTGGCAGCTGGTATCTGTACTAGGGATTGTAGTGAATGTGATCACCTTTCAGTGATGTGAATTCACTAAATAATTTTAAGCAACAGAATTACATGAACAGGTCTGATTTTTTTCAGATAACTTCAGTGGCAGTGTGGAAGGTGAACTCAAGAGAGTAGAGGGTAGAGGCAAATGAAATATTATTTGAGTAGAGAAGAACAAAAATGATTATGACCTGAACATAATGATAGCAACTATGCTGTAAATGAGAAAAAGAGTCAAGTAATACACTTTCAGATTCAACAAACACGTTGCAGAATTATACTTGCAGCTTCCTGGTACAGAGCTTGAATCTTTGTCTTGAGAGGAAGTATTGAATGAGATCATTCAGCTACCATGCTGTGAAAAGTA